GTTTTTTTTTATAGTTAATGAAGGAGCAAATCGCTAATGCACAACATATATAGAGCCAACAGAACCTTAGAAGAAATTAAGCGACTCGGTATATAATTTTCTTATATATTTTCCATAATATTACATTATAAATCTAAGACGATTTTCAAAGGCATTATGTAGGTACTGGTTCCATTTTCTGGAGATAATAGGTAGATATCAGCACCATTTCGCTCGCGAGGATAATGTAATTTTAAATTTTGGGTCATGGACAAAAAAGTTTGGGAACCTAGAGTGTGGGTTCTAGAGACTAATACAACGAAGAAGCAGCAGAAACAACGACGATTACCAAACTTTATCACCATAAAATAAACAATATTCAGTTGACTGGTCAGCAACAAAACAAATCTCGTTGCCAAAGATATTTGAAGGTATTTTGGGGTTGCTGAATTCGAAAATGTCAGTAGGTTTTTCAAATTGCTTGTAGTTAGTGAGATATTGCATACTTACCCTCAGTTATCAGGGAACTTAGCCATAACGTGTGTATATGTATATACAGATAGTTTTAATGAAGACTCGAATTTTATTTTTAAATGATTTAATATTTAAAAAAGAGAGTTGTATCAACAACGACCACGTGACAATATTGTAACCTTAATTTTCTTATTTTTTCCAGATAAACAAGAGTTCTTCACGAAGAGCCTACTTAAATAATCCTAATGCATTTTGCTACATTTGTGGCGAATACTCTGCAAAAACGAAGAAAAACATCACAAATTTTGTACAACAAGCTTATCTTGCTTATTTTAGAGTGGGGGGTTTGAGAACAAGACAAGTCTTGGACTCCCCATATGGTTTGCAAAATCTGTGTAGAATGCTTACGACAATGGAAAAAATAGGCAAAGGAAAAGTTTTAACTTCGGTGTGCCTACGGTGTGGACAGAACCCAAAAACCACTACAACGATTGTTATTTCTGTATGGTGGATGTGAAAGGTTTCAATCTATACAAAAAAAGTCAAATGGGAATATCCTGATTTGGAGTCGGCAAGGAGACCTGTGCCACACAGTGAAGACGTTCCCTTGTCATTGTCTACAACACTGCCTGACTTTCTGTTCTCGGATATTGAAGAAACTCTGGGTTTAGGATGTAACACAGGTGATAGTAGTGGAAGTGAATATAAAGTAAGCATTTTAACACCTCAGCAGTTCTCCCAAGAAGAACTCGATGATTTGATACGTCTGTCAAAACAAGTGTCGGAACTTTTACAACCCAGACTAAGCAAAAAGAACTATCTACAGGAAGAAGTTAAAATAACAGCCTGTCGGACAAGAGAGCTTGAAGGAGAAGTTGTGTACTGCAATAATATCCCTGGACTTCTTCGAATGGGACTTGAATATCGTCCAGGGGATTGGAGACTGTTTATACGCATCTCCATTAGAAGCTTGAAATGTGTCTTATTGCATAGTGGTAACCAGTATGCATCTCTTCCAGTTGTTCGCTCAACAAAACTGTGCTGATAACCAACATAGAAGAAAATCGTAAAGACAACGTTTTCATATGCAGTAATTAGTAGTATCTGAATTATCTTACTATGTTAATCTGGTGTTATATAGAATGAAGTGCTAGTATGAATTACATGATTTGACTTTTGCATGACCTAAACGTAATTTCAATGCGATTTGTAAGTTACCCCTGCCTGATCAATATATTTTTTCACGTCTTTTGTTTTTCAGCTTTCGCTAGGTTTACTTTTTTGGTTATGTGAGTTGTAGAGTTGAGCAGTCAGGGCTCCAACAGAGTCTTTGTATCCCTTGTATGATTCTGGGGTGTATTTGGGAGGATTTGTGAAGTGGTTCATACCCCAATACCTTATGGACCCATCTGTATGATAGTGTTGTTAGAATTGTGTGCCGTGTGTGACTAGTAGTGCCTTGTTACGAGTGCCTTGAGTGTGTGGGACTACTTCCTTGATACGAGTGCCTTGAGTGTGTGTAACTAGTGCCTCGTTATGAGTGTCTTCAGTGTAACTAGTGCCTTGTTATGAGTGTCATGAGTGTAACTAGTGCCTTGTTATGAGTGTCTTGAGTGTGTGTAACTAGTGCCTTGTTATGAGTGTCTTGAGTGTGTGTAACTAGTGCCTTGTTATGAGTGTCTTGAGTGTGTGTAACTAGTGCCTTGTTATGAGTGTCATGAGTGTGTGTAACTAGTGCCTTGTTATGAGTGTCTTCAGTGTAACTAGTGCCTTGTTATGGTGTCTTGAGTGTATGTAACTAGTGCCTTGTTATGGTGTCTTGAGTGTGTGACTAGTGCCTTGTTATGAGTGTCATGAGTGTGTGTAACTAGTGCCTTGTTATGAGTGTCTTCAGTGTAACTAGTGCCTTGTTATGGTGTCTTGAGTGTATGTGACTAGTGCCTTGTTATGGTGTCTTGAGTGTATGTGACTAGTGCCTTGTTATGGTGTCTTGAGTGTATGTGACTAGTGCCTTGTTATGGTGTCTTGAGTGTGTGACTAGTGCCTTGTTATGGTGTCTTGAGTGTATGTGACTAGTGCCTTGTTATGGTGTCTTGAGTGTGTGACTAGTGCCTTGTTATGGTGTCTTGAGTGTATGTGACTAGTGCCTTGTTATGGTGTCTTGAGTGTATGTGACTAGTGCCTTGTTATGGTGTCTTGAGTGTATGTGACTAGTGCCTTGTTATGGTGTCTTGAGTGTGTGACTAGTGCCTTGTTATGGTGTCTTGAGTGTATGTGACTAGTGCCTTGTTATGGTGTCTTGAGTGTATATGACTAGTGCCTTGTTATGGTGTCTTGATGTGTGTGACTAGTGCCTTGTTATGGTGTCTTGAGTGTGTGACTAGTGCCTTGTTATGGTGTCTTGAGTGTATGTGACTAGTGCCTTGTTATGGTGTCTTGAGTGTTATGACTAGTGCCTTGTTATGGTGTTTTGAGTTGTATATGACTAGTGCCTTGTTATGGTGTCTTGAGTGTATGTGACTAGTGCCTTGTTATGGTGTCTTGGTGTTATGTGACTAGTGCCTTGTTATGGTGTCTTGAGTGTATATGACTAGTGCCTTGTTATGGTGTCTTGAGTGTGTGACTAGTGCCTTGTTATGGTGTCTTGAGTGTGTGACTAGTGCCTTGTTATGGTGTCTTGAGTGTTGTGACTAGTGCCTTGTTATGGTGTCTTGAGTGTATGTGACTAGTGCCTTGTTATGGTGTCTTGAGTGTATGTGACTAGTGCCTTGTTATGGTGTCTTGAGTGTATATGACTAGTGCCTTGTTATGGTGTCTTGAGTGTGTGTGACTAGTGCCTTGTTATGGTGTCTTGAGTGTGTGTGACTAGTGCCTTGTTATGGTGTCTTGAGTGTGTGTGACTTGTGCCTTGTTATGGTGTCTTGAGTGTTTGTGACTAGTGCCTTGTTATGGTGTCTTGAGTTTATGGGATTAGTGCCTTGTTATGGTGTCTTGAGTGTGTGTAACTAGTGCCTTGTTATGGTGTCTTGAGTGTGTGTAACTAGTGCCTTGTTATGGTGTCTTGAGTGTGTGTGCCAAGTCGATAATCGCTTATGTTCCTGTTTTATCTTAAATGTTATAAGGCATAACTTTGTGATAATTTATATATTTTTAGTGTATGTATTGTATTTTTTGTGTATAATTCTCTACAGAATGGTCCATACGTTAGGTGCAGCACTCAATAGCCCTTACGGGTTTAGCGCTAAAGATTATACTAATAATAATAATCATGGGTTAGGTTAATCTTCGGGTTGTCAGTGAATGTGTGCGGTGTTAACTGAATAAGGGTTAGAATTGTATTTAGCATTTATGTGTATAACGTGTCACATGTAGTTTATGTTGTAGAGGGTTATATGAGAGAGGTCACAGTCTTACACATTATAATGTTCATAAACTATTATCGAATCCTGGTAAAAATCACTCCACTATTGGCACGTATTGGCACATGTTGCCAAGTCCCGTTAGGTGATGGCTGTAGTCTTGTATGCATTATGGATCTGGTAATGTTACTGACAGTGTATCTCTTCTGATTCAGAAGGTGAATCTCTTCTGATTCAAAAGATGAATATCTTCTGATTCAATAGGTGAATCTCTTCTGATTCAAAAGGTGAATCTCTTCTGATTCAGAAGGTGAATCCCTTCTGACTCAGATGTGTGTTATGCTGCAAAAGGTGAATCTGCTCTTTTTCAGAAGGTGAATCTCTCCTGTTTTAAATGTATCTGTATGTTGCAGAAGATGAATCTGTTTTGTTTCGGGTAAATCTCTTCTGTTTCAAGTGTATCTGTTATGTTGCAGAAGATGAATCTGTTTTGTTTAAGGTGAATCTGTTGTGTTTCAGAGGGAGAATCTGTTCTGTTTCAGAAGGTTAATCTCTTCTGTTTCAAGTTTATCTGTTACGTTTTAGGTGTATCTCTTCTGTTTTAAAAAGCGAATCGGTTATGTTACAGTTTGTGAGCCTGTTCTGTTTCAGAAGGTGAATCTGTTAGGTTTCAAAAGGTGTACCTAGAATGTTTCGAAGGGTATATTCGTTATTCTTCAGAAGTACCCAAAGCACGCTCCTACCGCCTCTACTGTTTTGTACCCTCTTAGCAGACATAGGTAAAAACACTAGCTACAGTTTTGTATCGTTATTTGCAAATGATTCCAAAATAGGCATGAAAGTCAACTCAGTAGAAGCCACAGAAAAATTGCAGGAAGATATAAGCAGGGTTTTCCACAGGACAGATGAGATCAACGTGATGTTTACATTTGGAAAGAATGAAGAACTCAAAAGGGACACTATCAAAGAACACAATAAGGCAAATGTCACGGCAGCTAGGAAAATGACTGCCAATTATTTTTAACTGATGTAATAATGAGATGTACTGTACTTATTTGTATAGATGTATTGAAAGATTGAAAGCCTAACCGAGTATATTACTGCCAGGGACTGTCATCTGTATTGACGGATTCTATAAAATAAAGTGATACTTTATGTATAGTGAAGATTGTGTTGTTGTGTTGACAGAGCGTGACTGGGAGGGCGGCATTGACAACGAGGGGCTGGACATCAGTCAGCTGGAGAGTTACATCAACGATGACAACAACGACACCATGTGAGTACATACATACTCTACCACAAGTTTTCTATACTAAACTTTTTACACAATACTTGCGACATATTTAATAGCTTGTTAATGATGGCAAGTTGTGAGCTGTTTGAGAATTTTGTTGTGTAACTCCTGTTGAAATAGATTAGTTGTGTGTCCCAAGTCATAGACTATCTGTGTGCCCATGTTCCCTCTCCTCCATGCTGGTATATATCTGCTTTGTTTATAGTCTCTCCGTCATCTCCTCTGTCCTCTTACTTTCCACTTATCTACTTATCTTTCCCATTGCTCCACGGTGCAACTATAGTTCTTGTATAATTGCCTCTCCTATTCTTATAATGTTAATAAGGAAGACACCCGGAATAAAAGGTAATCAGATGTGATTCAAGACAGGGGAAGGTAGCTCCAGTTCCTTGGATCAAATGCCCTTTACCAGCATCCAGGTACTTTGAAGGGTTACATCTCGTCTGGATTTTACCGCATCTCTCCGCTTGCATTTCTCGACGGTCTCTCTCTACAAGCTAGTCGAAACAAGAGCCAGGGTCGCTCCTAGAGTTCATGGGGGCCAGGGTGCAGAGTTAATGTTGGGGTCCCTGCTAGCTACCCGTTTGTAGTGTTTGAGCATGTGTACACACACACACACACACACACACACACACACCACACACACACACACACACACACACACACACACACACACACACACACACACACACACACACACATAGGAGCTATGACTCGACCCTTGCAACCAGGTGAGTACACACACATGACGAGGTAACAGAGTGGGCGTCTGTGACGAGCGGGGTTCTACAGGGGTCAGACCTAGGACCAGTGCTGTTTTTAGTATATGTGAATGGCATGACGGAAGGGAGAGACTCAGAAGTGTCCCTGTTTGCAGATGATGTGAAGTTAATGAGGAGAATTAAATCGGATGAGGATCAGGCAGGACTACAAAGAGAGACCTGGACAGGCTGGAAGCTTGGCCCAGCAACTGGCTCCTCGAATTTAAGCCCGCCAAATGCAGTCATGAAGATCGGGAAAGGGCAAAAGGAGACCGCAGCCAGAATATAGGCTAGGTGGTCAAAGACTGCAAACCTCACTCAAGGAAAAGGAACTTGGGGTGAGTATAATACCGAGCACATCTCCTGAGGCGCACATCAACCAGATAATTGCTGCAGCATATGGGCCACTGGCAAACCTGAGAATAACGTTCCGATACCTCAGTAAGGAATCGTTCAAGACTCTGTACACTGTGTACGCCAGGCCCATACTGGAGTATGCAGCACCAGTTTGGAACCCACACCTGGTCAAGCACGTCAAGAAATTAGAGGAAATGCAAAGGTTTACAACAAGGCTAGTTCTAGAGCTAAGAGGAATGTCCTACGAAGAAACGTTAAGGGAAATCGGCCTGACGACGCTGGAGGACAAGAGGGTTAGGGGAGACATGATAACGACATACAAAATATTGCGAGAAATTGACATGGTGGCCAGAGACAGGATGTTCCAGAGATGAGGCACAGAAACAAGGGGTCACAATTGGAAGTTGAGGACTCAGATGAGTCAAAGAGATGTTAGGAAGTATTTCTTTAGTATAGAGTTGTCAGGAAGTAGAATAGTCTGGCAAGTGACGTAGTGCAGGCAGGAACCATGCATAGTTTTAAGACGAGGTATGATAAAGCTCATGGAGCAGGGAGAGAGAGGACCTAGTAGCGATCAGTGAAGAGACGGGGCCAGGAGCTATGTATCGACCCCTGTAACCACAAATAGGTGAGTACACACACACACACACACACACACACACACACACACACACACACACACACACACACACACACACACACACACACACACATGTTTTTTTGAGCTTGTTGGATAGGGCTGAATGAACACAAATGGTTTTTCATGGACGTGCTGTTGGAGTGTGAACAAGGTAACTTTTTGACGAGATTCAGGAAAGCCTGTTAGCCGAACTCGAGTTCTGGAGGTAGGAAGGGCAGTGCCTGCACTCTTGAAGGAAAGGTGAGGATGTTGCAGACGGAGGGTAATTGATTGTGATGTCATCACACTTCTGGAAAGACAGCGATTGAATGAATGATGGTGAAATGTGTTTTCTTCTTTGGGTCACTCTGCTTTGGCAGGAGACAGCCGTTGAGTTGAAGTAGTTGCTGGAGTTTTACTCCGGTAAAAACTCCTGTATATATATATATATATATATATATATATATATATATATATATATATATATATATATATGTGTGTGTGTGTGTGTGTGTGTGTGTGTGTGTGTGTGTGTGTGTGTGTGTGTGTGTGTGTGTGTGTGTGTGTGTGTGTGTGTGTGTGTATGTCTATGTCTATATCTGGATACATATTTAGTATATAAAAGCAGGTGTTTTTACTGGAGTTAAAACTCCAGCGACTTCTTGCTTGACCATTTCCGTAGTCCTCCTGCAACTTGCTACTGCCCTCTATTTGTATTCTCTTCATTATTTTGGCATACGCAAACATGGATATAAGAACATGTTTGAGCCTTTCTGTTGGTAAGTAATTAATATATAAGAAACAATATGGGGTCCAGTACCTATCCTTGGGGAGAGTTACACTCACCATCCTGACAATTCATCTCTTACTGTGACCTTCTTGTGCATTCCTTAAAGCATTCTCGTACCTTTACTTTTACCCCTGACTTGCTCCTCCAGTTTCCTAAGAAGTCTTAAATGTAGCATTGTACTTGCTTGGTGCACAAATTTGCAGTCCACCCATTTCTGTTTTCCGCGTAACATCCGTTAGTATATCATAAGGTGAATACAAGGCACGACTTCCAATATCTGAAGCGATATTGGTTTTCATCTAAAAATTTGCTATTGCTAGGTGTTTGACCTATCATTTTTTTTAATTCTTTTCATTAATTTACAAGGTATTTTCATTAAGGGCACAAGTTCGTAACATAAGCCCTACCTTCAGTTTTGAATATTGAAATGTTGCTATATTCGAGTCGTCTACCATATCCCCAGTTATTAGCGATTTGTTGAGTCTGTGTGAGGGGCTTTCACTGGTATTGGGCTCCTAGTATCATATGGTCATCCTTATGTCTTTGATGTGTCATGTTCCATCAGGATCCTCCTCACTTTCTTACTAGTCGTTTAGATGTTTGATAGTTTCACTTGGCTTGCCCTCCTCTCTACCTCTGGTACTGGCCCTTTCGCTTAATTATAAATACGTACACTATTAAATTTTATGTGGAGCTCAGTGCTTACGTCTCTGGCGTACCCGGTGATTCTGTCATTCATTAGTGTTATCACCTGGCATTTTATTGTCATATTACACAAGTAAAAAAATGTCATCTACCTTCATATGTTGCTGTGTGGTGTAATAAGTAGCTTTAGCTCTGTTATCGGTTTGGCTTATGTCGATGATGTTATGTGACTTGCATATATGTTTATTCAAAAAGTGAATTTCGAGGATTTGAAGAGGCAACCGACAAGTGAATGTGGTATGCCTGACCTGCTCCTCGTCGCTCTTCTCCCTACAGGTACTTTGGGGACCTGCAGGGCGGCATGGCCGATATCAAGGCTCTGGGCAACGCCACACCCAGGGACTCACCCTCTCGTCTCCATCACCATCATCACCCTAACCTCCACCACCAGTAAGTTAACATTCAACAATAATGTAATATTCTTTTATTCTAAATTTACTAAGTTCATCGCCAGCTTCATAGTTTTGTCAAATTAAATTTGAAACTATAGATTTTATTTAGAATTTAAATTTTTATAGCGAAGGATGGAAAGTTCATCTTACCATATTAATTAACATTTAAACACACGTCGCTTCTCAAAAACCATCTTAACCTATGTTAGGTAAGACATCTTCAAGAAAACTGCTCTATACTTTTTATTTTGTTTTTGAACTTATTCTAAATTATCCCACGGATATATAGAAATTTTAATAAAAACTGCAGCTACAGTGTAAAAGAAGATTAAGAGTTGCAACCAGTGCAAGCTGGTGTGAGCAGCCTCTGGTCACTACCCTAGGCTTGCGCAATATCATTCTACGTGCTATTTGGCTTTCAGGATTAAACTCTTCCCCTACAAGACAGTTTTGCTAGTGCTTTAACATAGTTTAGAAACCACATATAATATAGTAATCATATAGAAACTGTTAATCGAGTACAATATCATAAGCTGCACTTGTAGAACAGAACTACACCTTACCCAAGTTCTGCATAAATAACTGGATGGTGAAGCAGCTAGGCTTCCCCCAACTCTCCCTAGCGTCTCCACGCCTGGCTTGGCAGCCCTCCTCTACCTTCTTTGTTTTTGCACGATCCTATTGGACATTGAAAGGATAGAATTGTTAATTATCCTTCAATTAAGTTTTATGGTAGTCCCCTGTTAGACTGATAGTACTGTTGTTTTCTGATGTTTGGAATATAGAAATGTTTACTATATTGCCGTACAATTTTCATTTTCATTAGCTTGTTGCTGGACCTTTATTCGTAAAAGCTTTTTGTAGATGATTTTATAATGGCTTATGATATGATTCTTCTTAATTGCTCTATGTGTATTGAAGTTTTTTTTTTAGATTTAAGCATCCGAATAGTTTCAGAGTAGCAGTGTTCTCTCCCGTAGTGCCCTAAAACAGTAGTATCTCCTGTACATCTTTAAGTAGATGTCTTTTGTATCTCTTAAATATAAGCCTATTCTCTTAAATAATTATAAACTATTTCTGAGTATCTTTAAGTAGAAGCCTCTTAAATAGTTATCTCCTATCTGCACCCCAGCTGGAAACTTAGAACCTATTTTGCTATGAGGTCTTATGCTAGTGTTTCCATGTAGAAACCTTCCCTTACTGCAACTTTCACTGCAGCCTCGCCCACTCTCAGCACACCGTGACTCACCCTGAGCTCAGTTCTAGTGGCACTTCCCCCACCAGCATGAGTGGCCCTCTACCCTCCGGTGTGAGCACGGGAGGCGGGCACTCACAGGTGGCCAGGGGCACCATGCCCATTGGCTACTACAACCCCTATCACAGCTATAACTCCGCATATGCTGCTTATCGGTGGGTTCTGCATGATACTTTGTCTCTTATTTAAGGTTGGTGCTTTTACATGTAGTTGTATATTTTTCCGTTTGAAATGCTTTTTGGTGGTTGGTCAATGTAGACATATTTGAAATATTATTCAAAACGTTTGAGAATATGTAATATACTTAATTATTTTTCTAGGAGGATTGTTGTGGCATCATTTGCCTGTGTAATTACTGTTTCGACTTTTTGGACAAAGTACTATATATGCATATTATTTCTAATATCAGCATTACAGTTTTTTATTTTAAATGTATGTAAGTCTTGAAAGAAAGTTTACTAATATAAATAGATTAGGCTAGATTACGCATATTAATATTTTTTGAGTCGTGAATAACCAGTAAGCTTTGATCAGATGACCAGGTTCATGCCTTTATGCCGCCCACAGGAGAGCTTTTTCCATGTTTCCTTACCAATAAAATATAGGCAGATGCGCTGTTAAAATATGCCCCTCCAGAAAAATTTGTTACAGAAACGTGATTTTTTTTTTCTGAACGACTTGAACTTTACATTAATATAGTGGGAATATTACGTAAATAATTCGAATACAGATATTGCACACTGCTACATTCAAAATACACCAGTAAACTTAAAATTTATTTCATCATTTGAAAGAGCTCTTATAATAGTAATAGATCTTTGTTAGGTTGATGATTCAGCTGTCTATTGTATATTATCATTTTAAGCTTAGGACCATATATTTTTCTTGGGGGGTTTTAAAATGGTTACTTGCTCAGCACAACGGCTTAATATGCAGGAATGTCTGGTGGTTCAGGTGTGCCATAGACAATGTATACGCTTACGTCAGTAATTGGCCTCTATTCATGCAGCTTCCATTAACACGCTTTACGTATGTGATGGGGGATACTAAGAAGAATAAAAGCCACAATACGTTGCTGGAACAAGTCACAATTGATGCACAAATTGGAAATGAAAACTTGGCGACGTTTCGGTCTGTTTGAGCACTTATGGAGCCGCAACTTAATGATTAAAGATGGACGGAAATGTAGTTCAGTTTCCATTCACAGTTTATAGACTAGTTGTAAACGGGTATACTGTATTGGTCACTCTTCGCGCAGTTATTTTTTTCTTTTTGGAAACAGTACAAGATAGCCAGTTATATTAAGGGAAGAGTAATTATTTCATACGAACCTCTAGGTTCTTAGGCACTAGAATCAACGTTGAATTGTCGTATAGTAAGTTATATACTTTGGAAAACGCTGGAATTAAGTCTTTTCTCCATTATATATTACTCCAGGAATGTTGTGTTGTAATTTAAGAAGAATTTTGCCAACGTATTCTCATTAAATTTAATGACTTGCTTAGAATTGACAAGGGCTTCGCTTAGCGTCGTTTTCTGTTTAGATGCTCCAACACAACGCCATGATCCATTATTGGTTTGTTTTGAAAGGCAACAAGGTGTCAGCAGGTCTTGTGGCACAAATACATAGCAGAACTATCCTTTATTTGGATATTTCGCCCACTGGTGAGCTTTTTCAGTATCATGACTTGAAAAAACTCACCCGTGAATGAAACATTGCCTAAATAAAGGGGGCATGTCACCTTCACCTCACCACTCGAGGACACTAATCCAGGGGTGGGCAATTATTTTGACTGTCGGCCCACATTAGTGTAAATAAGCACCCCGGCCCGCACACTTTTCTCGATGTAAAACTGTAATGTTTAATAATAGCTCAGATACGTATATTCTCTTTGTGCATTGAAAATATTGAAAATGCGAGAAATTCTAAAATGTTGAAGTCTGGCATTGTGTCCGTTGTCATGCTGAGTACTGCTTCAAGGTGCTCATCGGTCATTGCAGATCTAACCTTTGATTTGTTCAGTTTCATTACAGAAAATGTCTGCTCCCATACGTATATTGACTTAAACATTACAAACGCCCTTTGAGCACGAGTTTTTAATTTTGGAGACGCTCTCGAACTGGTAAGCGTCAGTGTCTGGAATTACTTCAAAAGCAATGGATCACATTACAGGTCAGTAGGCTTGAGATGAGAGTCAGGTGGAACTTTACCAGCATAAGCTGAGACAGATGAGGAGACTTTCGACGTATCATTTTTTATCATTTGTGAAGTCTTGGAATCGCCGAGTAAATTCAGTAGGTAAAGCAAGTAGTAACAAAGAATAGCCTCTGAGGTTTTCCTTACAAAGTTGAAAAATGAGGTAACCGCTTGTTTTTTTCCTTGTAATGTAACTCATGAGCAGAGTCCTCTTCCTTGCGATTTTGAATTGAAATCGTTCATACTGTCTACGATATCAACGACACACGCAAAATCAGAGAGCCACGTCATATCATTCAGCCGAAAATAAAACTAAAATACATATATAATGTCAGTGGTTGTATTCATTGTATCAAGTGTTGACAGGTCTTGCTGCGATGACTGCCCAACACTCGCACTTTATTACTATGTAATAAAGTCAAATTTAATTACGTATCTCAAATTGGGCATTATTAATAATGGGTCTGTCCCATGGCCAAGCCCAGCCATGGGACAGGCCCGTGTCAAGAGACACATGTCCTGCCTCCTGACGAATAAAACAACAATCTTAAACTGGAGACAATAAATTTTACGAAAATGCCGGATGGAGTGGCGGGCAGGATGTGACCTACGGGCCGTGTTTTGCACACTTCTCTTTATCTCTAAAATGAGGCTGAGTGTACATACACCAAAAAATATAAACATCTTAGTGCGTACACCCGTACCGTGACTTTATTATCAACTGTGAATGAATACTACACCATGCTGCGTGATGGTAGTATGTATACATGTACTACCATCAGCCAGGCTGAGGGACTGACCACCTCAAATACTATTTCTCAAAGGTGGATGGACTGATTACATTATCTTCATTTCACTACTGCACCTGCAGCCTTTGTATTTGATTGAAGAAGTCTACTGTGTAGGCGAAACGTTTCAACAATAAAGATACCCAACTGCTGCACATGTGTCTTAATTATCAACTTGTTGGTATTTTATACTACTTTTAACGTGGGGAAAAGGAGCCGGGAGGAAAGTAAACGAATGAAGTGATGGAGTAGGTAGATGGAGAGTACCGAAGAAGAAGAAAAAGAAGAAGAGAAAATTATATATATAAAAAAGAAAGCTTATGGTTTATCCAAAAACGAAGAGAGAAAAACCAAAAGTGCAAGAGCGTGGAAAAACTTTAGAAAGTGAGAGAAGAACCAAAAACTAACGTTTAAGGCTGAGCAAAGAAGTTGAGCGAGAGTTTGAGAATAATTACAGCACAAGAGAAGTCACAACCCAAACATCTACAGTCACATAAGAGGGAAGATGAGAGTAAAAGACCAGGTAGTAAATCTGAAGAAATAAGGAGGAGAGCTCACGAGAAACAATGAAATTTATGAGAAGTTGAACAAACTGTTTAAAACAGGTCTTCTTAGTAGAAACAAAATTAACACCAGAGAATCAGAGAGAAATGGTACACCCCTGGGTACTGCTTACCATACACATATCAAAGGAAGAGGGTGTAAAAGTTGAGTGAGCCGGGTACAGCAGAAGGGGACCCGACAGTGTCACCATTGATTCTGCAAGAGGGAGCAGAAGGACAGTTTGAACCATCAGATTATGTCTACAGGAATCAATGGATATGGGACAATTACTAGAGATGTGGAAGACAGTAAATGTAGTCCCAATATCTAAGAAGGTATCACTGACGTGCATACTACGTAAAATACTAGAGAAAATAATCAGGAGAGTGGTAGACACTTCTGAAGACGTCGTTTCATGATGAAATTAAGACACATGTGCAACATCTGGGTATCTTTATTGTAGACGTTTCACCATCCAGTGGCTTTATCAATACGAATTATAGGACATAGCTTAAAGACAGTAGGACTATATACAGAAGATGAGGTAATCAGTCCCTCAACCTAGGAGTAGGTGCGAAGAGCACCATAGTCGTGGAGATTCTGACCACTTCTTGCACAACGTCGTTTCATAAACAGTAACCAGCACGGATTTAGAGATGGCAAAATTTGCCTTACAAACCTGCTGGGGTGTAATGACTCAGAAACAGAAGTGAGGCAGATGACTGGGCGGATTGCATATTCTTAGATTGCATTGAGAGCATTTGATGCTTTACATACCAGGAACAGGTAGAAATAACGGAAGATGTACGACAGCGGATCAAAGAGTACCTTATAGAAATGAGACATAAATGTCAGAATGGGAAACTAACAAATGGGATTCCGCAAGGATCGGCATTTTGATCAGTACCGTTTTCTGATGTATGTGGATGACATACAAGCAGAGATAGTATCCCTTTTTGCAGATGGGATAGAGGGGATAGAGGGTGCAAACCTCACTCAAGGAGAGAGACCTAGGAGTGAGCATACTGCCAAAGATATCGCCAGATACACACATCAGTCAAACCTTTGCAGTGAATGTACATTTGGCCAGTCAAAGAGCACCTTCCAGAGATCTTAATAGTCTTTCGCTTCTCTATATTCAGTATATGTTAGCCTTATCTTAGAGCATGCAGCACTGTTATGGAACGCTGGTAAAGCATGTTAAGAAACAGGGAAAGGTGCAAAGCCATGCGACAGGACTAGTCTCAGAGCCAAGGGGAATGAGCTATGAGGAGAGACTTAAGGAACTGAAGCTGACGACATTAGCGGATAGAAGAAGCAGGAAGACATGATAACGACATATAAAATGCTCAGAGGGCTTGATAAGGTGAACAAGGATAGACTGTTATAGAAACGAGGAACAGGTACAAGAGGACAAGTTGGAAACTAAAGGCACAGATAAGCACAGAGATGTCAGGAAGTATTACCTCATCCTGAAGGTGGTCAGAAAGTGAAATGACCTAGACAGAGTAGTAGTGAAGGGAAGCCCTATAAACCATTTTAGAAATAGGTTTGACAGGTCCACAAGATTGTGAAGGATTAAATCTGCCCAGGCAGGGCTAGGAACTGACTCTAGACGTCTACAACC